ATATATATATATATATATATATACAAAGAAATTAGCAAAGATAAGCTTTAAAAAAAAACGCAAAAAAAATAGTGACTGGAAAAAGAAAACAGATTGTGTTTCCCAAAAAAGTCACAAGAAAAAAAAAAACGTATTAATATTTTTTTGTGTGTATAATTAAAAAGGGTTTTTTGATGAGGCAAAAAATGATATGCAAAAAAACATTAGAAGGAGGAAAGAGTACGTTTTTCTGTTTTCTTTCTTCCTTCTATTAGCTTTCAGAAGAGAAAAAGTCCCCAAAAGTTTAATAAAAAACAGAAGTAAAAAAATGCTAAGAAATGGCTTTAAAGAATGAATAACTAAGAAAAAAAAGATTTCAGCCATTTAAACTCTTTTTTTTTTTGAGTTCTCTACTCTTTAACTGTTCTCACAAGCATTATACTAAACTCATTTATACAGCTACCTAAAAAAAAAAAAACGAAATTAACGCTCTATTTGTTTCAGTTTCTACGTAGTTTCTTGACTTCTAATCCGTTCTTCCTTCTCCTGGTAATAATTTAAAGAATATGACAATTTATAAAATTAAGTGAAAAATAAGGTTTAAAATTTCTACCTGTTTTGTTAAGTACCACAAACCTGTTACAGCACTCGATAACATCTCAGGTGTTACCGCTTGAATGACCGATAAAACTCACCGAAAGGTTTTTTAGAAAAATCTTCACATTTCAGCCGTATATGCCTGAGCTAAACCATTTTCAGTCTTACAGACAGACCGCGAAATTTTTTTTCCGAAACTCGACAATAAATCAAAAAAAACTCAGCTTGGTTGCCTCCTGATAATTTTCAACGACAAATCCAAAAGCATGTGTATTGTAAAGACAAGTAAAAAAACCGTTAATAATTTCATCAACTTTTGAAATTTAAAACCGACAAATCAGATTAATCAACTTATAACAAAGTTAAACTAATAAAGAAAAAGCTCTTAAACTATAGAAAAGATTTCAACCTTACCGCTATTTAAGAACTCTATGGCAGATAACCTTCGCTAAAATCAGTATTGCCAATTTTAACAAAATCTAGTAAAACCTGTCTTATCCACCAGTAAGGAATCTAACAAAAACAAAATTTTAACTATGCTGATGTAAAAATGACACTTGAATGCAACCTCTAATAACGTACGAGATGATTCTCAGCATCAGTAGACTTTAAAATTACTATTTCAGCTTCAAACTGTTGACAGTGTATTCGCCATCAACAACACCTTTAAAATTATTGCTTCTCCATCCCTCAAATTAAGGCAGCTCTGACTGTTTGAAAGCAGCACCCCTTGAATAAACTGACAAAGTTTTGGTAATTATTAGCGGTTCTATATCTTGGCAATGTACTATCACAAAATCAAGAATTAAAAGTGCCTTTTTTCATTTTTCTCAACGCTTTCCAGAGATTAGTTTTAATAGCAAGAAAAACCGCAAGAATTAGAGGAAATAGTTACATTAACACCGTTAAGGACATAAAATTAATTTTTAAACGCAAAAATGAAAAGAGAAACTGCACCAGCAGTTGACTCTACAAGAAAGCAATTAAATTGGTTTAATTCTCTTTTATTTTTATTTTTTGCTTCAATAACTCTCGGTAACAGATAGGTAAAAAAGTGTAACTATCTCTTCAACTGAATAACGACAATCAAAGAAGTTAGATAGATAACTTCAGACGATGAAACCAACGATGCAAAACATTAGAAAATTACATGCATCCATAAACAGATATCTACAAAAAAACTTTGAGAAAAATTTTTCCGATACTTTGCGGAATCCAGCAATAACTGCAAGTAAATTTCTGCTTTTGTCTACATTCTTCTAGACTCTTTTTGTACTCCAAAAATTAAACATGTTTCCTAACCAAGTTTTAACTCCGACTTCTTTTTTTTTTTTCAAGTCCTTTTACGAAAAACAACCAACAAAGCATCAACGCAACCTCAGCAAACTACTTATCAAAATAACCCAGTATCCTCCACTTTCGCCTACCCCCTTTTAAAACAAGTTTCTTTTAGCTTCCAAAAGTAGTTTCTTTTCGTACCACTCAACACCCTTGTCTTCTTTCCCTTAATTTACTTAATAATGATTTTACTAAAAAATCTATGCAATGAAGAAAACTTAATCCTACTTTTGCAGTGAATTGTATGCTGTTTCTGCTCAAATTTACCAGCCACTTTAACTTCAGCAGAAAAAATTTTGCAAAAACACCAACACCCTAAAAAAAAATTATCCTCTTAACATTTAATCAATCCAGCAGTCTTAAATTGTTGCTTGCATTCTCTTTGCTATCATTACGTGGTTATGCTTATAAAATTAAAATTAGAATTAAAAACAATATCAACACTAATATTAATTTCAATAATAATAATAGTGATAATAATAGTAACAGTAATAGTAATAGCACTAGTAATAGTAATAGTAATAAATAATAATAATAATAATAATAATAATAATAGTAATAATAATAAATGATAAGAAGAAGAGAGTAGAGAGTAAACAAGGAAATTGAAAAGTGGATTCAAAAACAAATAAAGAAAAAACAGTTTTTTTTTAAAAGATAATTTATTATGCATGCCCACTAGACTCGCCGTTTTTGTTGAAAACAAATTTGAGAATTTCAAATTTTTTATCCTTTGGTAACGAAAAGAGAAAAACAAGTGTAACCCGACATATAACCAATTTTTCCTAATTACCTAGAAAGATTTATCCATCCTAAAAAGCATAACGAAAAACGAAAAAACCAAAACAATAAGAAAACAGAGCTTGAATGAACACTTTTTTGTTTTCTGTAGAATTTCGTACTTTTATAGTAACATAACTGGACGATCGCGAGCATTAGAGAGGAACAAGAAGACAGAAGTAAACTGAAGGAGAGATATCACTTAGGAGGTTAAACAGCATTATGAGAGAAACATGATTAAAAAAATTTATTAAGTAAAAAGCGATTGTGAGACACATTGTCAAATACACTTTTTTGTTTCCGCCTCTCCTAACTCATACTCTGTTAATGTACGAAAAAAGTTGCATGCGCTTCATTTTCTACAGATCACGGTACAGAAAAATTTCTTTGCTTTGTCCGATACAGAAGTCAGATTTATTTCCAGTTTCATTTGCGAAGTTGTTGTTGCCTTTTGTTATTACAGAAATCCGACAGGCGCCAAACGAATGACCTTCAACTTGGACAATGACTTCAGTTGGGTGCTGATGTACACCGGGACAAACCCGAGGAAACGGAATTTGTTACTCTGATGGTACAGCGGAACGTGACCACCAAAAAGCAATAGAGAACAAAGCGAGATACTAATGAAGAAAGCTATAGTTGCCTTCATTGCCTTTTACCAGCCCACCCCTAAAAAAACGAACTGGTGAAATATTCATCGGAT